GATTAAAGTTGATTTACTCTCACAGCAGTAGACAGCATTTTACAATTTACATAAAATTTTCTCATTATTCCTAAGTTCTGAAACGGGTAAACTCTCACGAACACACAACAGGTCCTTTGAGTCCACTCGTTCGAGGGCCACTCAAACCTAAAGTGTTTGCCAACTAGGTGTGGAATTCAACCGCTGAAAAGGCAAACGTTCTCAATGCACTCGCAAATCGCGGCCAAAAAAATAGGTGTGGTAGTAACAGTCACTAGGTCACCTACAAAAGACCAAGACATCAGTCAGAAATTGATTTTCACCATTAATCCAGCCCTCGATTCCTCAAATGTTGTTGGTAAAAGCACAGGGAAAGGACATACACTAAATTTGTCAATATTTTGACCACTGCCACAACGTGGTTTTCGTACAATAGAACATTCCAGGAAATTACATAGAAGAACTTTTCATAAAGCTCGCATAACGATGAGTTGCACTATGAGAATTGAAAATTCCGACTCAGTTCGACGACGACGGGGGCATTCTTGCAGTTTCGCTGCTCCACTAGTTCCGGTTTATACAAGTTTCACTCTGGTGAAATCTGTGAACTGCGAAGCTGGAGCAAGCTCGTTGAGCCGTCATGAACTTGTCAACTGTTGGCTCATAAAATAGCTCTCCAGATGGCTTGACACGCCAATGTTAAGTAACAAAAGTGCGCTCCCCTCATTGCCAAACTGCGTCAGTCTTAGTTCATGAAAAAAATCGCGAGGAGCCACCACGAAAAAAAATAAACAAAAGAGGGACGTCCTCACTCGCCTACGATTTAGTGGTGAGCATCCCATGCCAGAGCTCACCAAAATTTGCCTTTACATAATAGGCGGAACGAGGTCACATTTTGAAGAATCTCAACATTTCATTGATTTCTTTTTTGTTTCGTTTCCATTTTCGTCGCTTTGAGCCCTTTCGAAACAAGGTCATTAGTCATATTTGAAAACCCAATGGGGCAGAGAAGGAATACGAGCGAGTGGTGACAGCTGGGTTTGGCGGAGGATGGACAAATGCGATTTGTACGAAGTAAGCAAGCTGGGAGAGTGATGTAAAAAAACTGCCGTTCACAGAAAGAGGAGAGAGTACAGGGGGACACATTCTCACTCAATGTTGACTAGCCGAAGTGCAAACATTTTCTGCTGCGATGCACCCTTCAAATGCATTAGCGCTCTGATGCTCTGCAAAATATACTGGGTGTCAACATTTTCCGTCGTAAATCTCCGTGAAGATGGCCCAATGGGTTACAAAGCATATTAGTTGATGGCCCAGAACTCTTCAAGTTCGCCTCAGTTTACCTCGTCAGCGATGCAAGAAAACTCGACGTGTTTCTTGAACATGGTTCTTCAGTGGTGGTGTGCTTGGTTTGACGTCATTCGATGTAAAATGTGGCTGCCTTTAAGCAAAATAAACCATACAATTTCAAGATTTCCACTTCACTCCACTTCAATGGGAATCTAGACTGGTGACATCTTTATATTGAATGCAAGTCCATGGGTGATTCAGTGCACGTTCCCAAACTACATTCGCGTTTTTTTTTTTCCGAAAAGCTGTTTGATGCATATTTCTTAGAGTAATCCTGATTATCACGCCTACGGATACCGTTCCCATCAAAAATGTGCATCACGTCGTTTATTGATATTACATCTTTTTAAACTTGAGGTAAGTTTGGCTGCGGTTCCCTCCGCTTTGGGCCATTGTTTGAGTAATACAAGAATATTTGAGGAGCGTGAGGGCGCGATCTTTTTTATAGCCCTCTTTGTAGAAAGAAAGATTGCGAGAAAAGAAAATCTGTTTGGTGTCCTCATTGCTATTTTTGTAATATTGAGTCAGCTTTGTCAAAATCATCGACCACAAGCCAAGACCACATTCTCTGGATGAACATTAGTGACCTCCTTTGGGTCATCCACAAATAGGGGAATGAGGGTTCATGTTTCAACCGTACATCAAAACTAGTATATTCAAGACAGAGTCCGAATTCATTTGACTTCCCGACGTATACGGTAGCCTTCCCTAGAAGGATGGGGGATTAACTAATTCCACAGCTCGAAAAATGCGAGCTTCGCTTGTGAAGGGACTGCCACTCCGCCCACCGGGCTGCCACAACGCCCACCTTTCATTTCTAAAGGCTGTCTGAAAGTGTTGTCATTCCGCTACTAACTCCCTTCACATCGCAGCGTAAGGTGATAAGGACAAAGCTGATCCCAGCAAATGAGAACTCGTCGGACCACACGCTTTCTTTGCCTTGTGCAGGTACAACCTCAATTCGGTATGGAGTTCTATACAAGCATTTTCCATGATACTTTTCCTCGTTTTTCCTTCACTACTGAATCACTTGGTACCGTTTATTATGTGAGCCATGACTCATCGTTTTTTATGCAGGCCCTGCCTTATGAACAAATGATATATTATTCCCACTTTTCGCCTGATTATTGCTCACCATTTGAGAAACGTTGAGATTTTTGGAAAATATACTTGAGGCAGGTCAATAAATCCCAACGAAGCGATCAAATTTATTTTTCTGCCAAATTATGGAATGCTAATTTTTTGAGGAGGGGTCAACATTTGCAATCAAAATCTCGTTATCTCGTATTTATCCAAATCACAATTCCCAGTCAGCATGAGGAATGCTAGACAACACTTTGGCAATAACAAAATCCCCAGCCAATGATGTGCACAGGGGCACATCATTGGCTGGAGATTTCGATGGAGCCCATGCGACCCCTCCCCCCATTTTTTAGGGGGTCGGTGCCCTCGGTTTCCCCCTCTTCACTGAGCTGTCGGGTGCGGGAGGGGGAGGGAAGGAAGGTACATAGCCGCGAAAATCCAGTATGTTCCTTTAGAAAGTCAGAGAGGAACTACACCCCTTCCAACAGCGATTAAATATCACCCCCTCCCTTTACAACGCCCCTGGAACAAGAAAATCAACTATCAAAAAAATTTTCTCAGCTCAAATACGCCCCCCTGTTGGGGAATCTCCAACAACGATGCGCCCTGCTTATGCAGGCATTGCTTCATAACATTAACTTTAAAACTTTGAGAGCTATATTCCCCCATCTATGACACTCATGGCAGCTACGCTTTTAGCGCACCACTGCTGTTTTGAGACTAATGTAAACATGTCTTTCCTAGCACAAGACATGATGACAGTTGTCTCAAACCGAAATATACCACTCATCAATATCGCCATGTCCAAACAAAGTATGCGGCCGACAACTCTCCGTGACTGGGGCAGGAAGTGTGCCTCGGTGACACCGTACAAGTCTTGCCCCATCCAATGTTGTCATTTTGCATGTGTTTATAGGCAAGTGTACACTCCTCTCCAACGATGGTTCTTGCCAATGGGCCTGCACCTACCTAGTGCGCCACTTTCTCCGCTCAGAAAAGCTCGGGAACGGGGCTGGGAAGTAATGATACGGGTGCCACTTCCAAACTCCATCCCCGTTATTCTCAAGGTGCAGCACTTGCACCGCTACCAAAATTCTGCAGCGACGACCCACAGATTGAGAAGAACTGGTCCTGCGACAGCGCAGATAAGTAGTGCCTTGGGCTATGGTTAGGCCGTGCGGCAGCATAGGTGGAGCCTATAAACGGCATCCGCGCATAGCTACACCTTCCAGCTCCGCTCCCGTGCACATTTGAGCAGAAAGTGACACGCTACTGGAGCTGCAGACTCATTCACCTCGCATGTGGCGAGGACCTCACTCCTCGGAGGTGAGTGTACAGCTTGTCATTCATGTAAGGGAATCTGTGAGAGAACCTTGGAAACAAAACATTCTGACAACTTTCGAATTTCTCGGCTATTTATCCCCGATTCAAAATAATGTCGAAATCTGTTTCGAGCTCATTTATCATCAGTCAAAACGTATCCATTGCATATCGTAGCTCTTTCGACAGGAACCTTCGCCTTTCTCCTAGGAGCAACAAAAACTTGCACTTCAGACTGGAACGAGAGCAAGTCAGCCATGCACCTTCTCAATTTCACGTTCACGTAGAGACCGACCAGGAACACAGAGAATTCCTGGGACGCCTTACGTTACTTCTCAGAATTTTTTTAATCTCACATTTATCTACATACCAGTCGGATCGCACGGCTGACGCCGAGCTCTCCTCCTTCTTTTTAGCTCGGCTTCGCCGAGCTGGCCTGGCTTCGCCAGGCGCACATCATAACGGGATGGAATTAGTTAATTGTATGAGCTGCTCATATTGCGCGGTAGTGGTCGAATCAATAGACAGAGTAACCTAGCGAAATCTGCACCCCTCAGAGTTGCGGAAGGCGTGCGGGTTTCGGCCATAACGCCCATTCTATACGTAGATCTTGGAAGTAGATAGGAAGTACAGAATATGTGTTGCACAGTAGATAAACACATTCCGTTTTTATTACCTGCATCACAACACCAACGATGGGCGATTAACTTGTCATTAACATGCAATCCACTGCCTAAGGTTTGCATTGAATGGCTGCAGATGACAATATTTAGGCAGCGTTCATTGAATATCTTACAAACTACTTCGTTATTCGTTCATCAGTGATTTAATGTTGAAAAGCAAAAAAAATATTTAAATACTCACTGAACGCATAAAGTGTGTTCCAATATTGGAGTTTTTGATTTTCCAAACTTCCTGTTTCAGGCGAAGTATATACCCCCCTAGTGGGATGAGTACATTTTCTAGTGCTATCAGAGGAGTGATGGCTGTGGGAAAATTTCGCTTACTGAGAGGCTTTTTTGGCAGTGTAGTGGTCAGAGATGTCGTGAAAATGTCCCCTTATCTTTACTTATCAATTGATAAAATTGCTTGTCACTCGTCATCAATGTCGCTATCACTAAAACTCCATAATTTCGTGGTGTAGAGGCTCCAGCGTTTGATTTGAACAACAACTGCATCGTTCTCTATCAGGCCCTATCAGCTGTTATCATTTCTTGTCACCCGCCGTCGCATTCTCCACCTTCCCCTTGATATCATTTGCTGAAATCAACGCCTGCTGTGTACCGCGTTATGATATGTTGTCCTTTCCACTCTAACTCCCTTTATCAGCGGCTAGCAGTTCTTGTCACCCACATATTCCTGTGCCATAACCTATATCATACCTTGAAAAAACGCCCCAGTGTTCCAATCGGACCGTCCCTCTGCTTCCTTCTCTTGCGCATGCTCAGGCCGGGCTGAGTACGCGCAAGGGAAGGAAGCAGAGGGGGGGGGGCGCCCAGTGCCCCCCCTCCTCTCGGCCCCACCCCACCCTGCCCCCGCACGAGCACACGTCCAGCTGCCACGCCAGCAGCTCGTGCAATGGCTCGGAGTGTACCGAATGGTTGTCTTATATAGCGGAGGCCGATATCACGATCAAAACATTGGATTGCTACATCCTCCCAGTCGGTTACCGGTTTGCCTAGCGGTCGTTTTCGCCTCCAGCGAACTTGAACCCGTGAAGTATTGTGCGGACGGACAGACAAACATACATACAAACCTACATACAAACATACAAACCGACACACAAAGTTACTGGTTTATAGAATAGAAGGATTACTGATTTATTCGTTTGTGATTTTTTAGACAATTAACTTCCTTATAAATATTGCGGCCGAAGGAAAAGTTTCCTGACAATCTTCTTGGAACTATTTCAGTTACAGACTTTCAGTCAAGAACTACAAGCATTTTGATGACGGAGCAGATATCAGATGTAAAATGACAAATTCTTCCTCACTAGAATTCTATTCTCAGTTAATTTTTGAGCTGCTCCAAAAACGGCAGCTAGTAGCAGGGGCCATTTTGGCTACTTGGCTCTAAATTTTGTATTTTGTTGTAGAAATTTATATGAGTTCATCACTGAAAAATGTGAGAAGCTCATGCTTCAATGTCACACAACTGAAAGAAAAACAAAACAAAACTGCATACTTTTGCACGTTGAGGTGGTGGAGGTGGAGGCGGTGCGTCTCTTCGGGCGGTCGTTCGTGGATGGATAGGTGGAGGTGGTACTGGTGGTGGTGGCTCAGACTCGTTATCAGTTGCACTGTGTTTCCTCTGTTGATGTGGAGGAACCCGAGCAATTTCTTAAAGCAACTATTCAATAGCAATGTTGGAAAGGGAACGGCAAAGGTTGTAAAAAATCAGTCTTCAATGTGCTACGAGTGAACACAAGTGAAGGATTGTGCGAATTACTGAAGTAAACGCTTTTTTCAAATGCCATATCCTACCTTCCAGTCTTTGAATGGGAAAAAATGATACGGTAGTCAACGTTCAGAAAACCACAAATTTCACAAAAAGATGAAAGAAACAAAGGAAAATGCTTTGAAGTGTGACCGCATAACTATCTTTGTCTGCGTGCGCGCAGAATGATACGAAGGCATAGACATACAGGTGCCCATGGGGGGATACGGAAAATCTGCCCCCCCCCCCCCCCAAACACCCACCCCTGCATCAGTTGAGGGAGGGATATACTCGTCAACTGAACGAAAAAAAAGTAACACGATGCCTACCTAAGTCAAAGCTTAGCTTACGAGCTACGAGCTTGCGCCCTTATTTGCATTGCGTCGGCTTGCACGGTCAAAAGACTGCCGAAAACCCGCTGTTCTACACGACGCAGAAAGCAGTTTTGGACGAGTCTCCCGAGTCCATTGCGCCAATAACCGCTATGTTATATACGTGCGTACTCATACATCCCTGCAGCCCGCTGGCGTTTCGTATCAATGCCTTCGCTTCACAACAGTACTTCGCAAATGAAGCGACACGAGCATCAGCCAGCTTGAGAGTACTTAGCTCCACGCAGCACCTGCTCAGGCGCCGAATTCCACCTTGCCACGCATCCACAATCCTTACACTCTGGGGATTTATCGTACCTTTAATAAGCTGGTGGAGCACTAGCAAGGAG